TCATACGCCAGAACAGCTGGCCAAGATTCCCCGCTTACAACAAAGAGAAGAACAATGGCAAGCAGAGACCTCATATAAAAGCCAGACAGAAGGCAGCTGTTGCTGCAAAAAGTACCACTGCGATGTGTGTGACGTGTCGTGCCGAGACGCGGCGTCCCTCAGGATTCACAATAACTCGAAACGACATAAGAAGAAGACAGAAATGGGAGATGATGACTACCATTGTGCACCTTGTGATATTTCTTTTCGTTTTCTTTCAAATTTTAACCAGCACAAAAAATGCAAGAGCCACATCCAGAAGACATCTTGCTAACTTCGAACCTAAGGATCTAACCACCACTTGACTCAGCTGTATGTTCTGGCCGATGCATTCGAAGTCGGAGAAGACCCATGGCTTTCCTGAAGGTTTATGGACATGGTCCTCTTTTGAACGGAGGACATTATGTTCTCACAACCCTCTCATAGAAGGCTTCCTGGCTAGTGAAGATTATATGCCAGAACAGCTGGCCAAGATTCCTCGCTTACAACAAAGAGAAGACCAAACGTCGTCTCAAGAAGATGGAAATGGGCGACGACAATTTTCATTGCGCTGCTTGTAACATTTTGTTTCATTTCCTTTCAAACTTCAACCAGCACAAAAAATCAAAAAGCCACATCCAGAAGACATCATGCTAACTTCAAACTCAAGGATCTCACCACAAACGCGCGTGCTTGCGAGCGTGCCAAGCGTATTCTCTCTTCTACTGCTCAGACTGTAGTACCATTGTACTAACCACATGGTACAAGGGTACATCATCTACACTGTACATAGGAAGTTAGAGAGATCGGCGAAGATATTATCATACAACCATACATCGTCGTTCTACCATAACACAAATCTCAGCCTCTTCCCCCAACTTTGTTCCAGTGCATTGGCCGGGCAATCTACGGGCAGGTGATCATGTATGCCTTCATGCAATATATCCTGCATCGGTTCGCTGGTGGCATAACTGGGGTGGAGTCCCCGCGTGGTTTTCTACTTCTGGCTTCAGATGACGATGGGGTTCACTACAGCTGATGAGCGGCCAGTTCACTCTCAGCGGCCACATGGAAACGGAGGGTTCTGGGCATAGTTGCCTCAGGAGCTTGAACGGTGGATACCTGTCGAGAACCCATGTAAAAATGCTTAAGCCACGGCTCAGCCCACGGCTGCTGCTAAGCCTGTCACGGTGACTCAGATGGATGCATCTTGCAGGCTATGACTCTGCAGTAGACAGACAGTGGATCCATGGAATCATATACCAGCATCAACTCCCTGGTATTAATGGACCATGCCTAATATATTCATCATTGAACATGAGTTGAACAAGATTCCTATATTTCACTATATTGCACTGATGATTAACTTGGACATTAGACTAATATGCATGCACTAATGCCTTTCATGCAAATTGCTGGGCACATTATCTTTTGATTCGTAGACAGCAAGGACCTCTCTGGGCTAGAATCTATGAAATACCCAGATTCTAATCTATGGAAGGGAAATACCATGTTCTCACTAGATCGCTGGGAGGCCTGAGAGAGCGACTGCAATGGATAAGTGAGCAAAGTGAGCCTAAGAAAAGGACACGCGATGAAGCCCGGACATTAGAGAAACTTATGCAGAGTATTCAGCAACATAGTGAGGAAAATATCAGAGTGTAGCCATATGACCTTGCATGTATGCTATACCCTTCTTGTAAATATTAGCTTACAACCATTATCAGCGTTACAATCACTGGAGGTGCCAAAGGCAGAAGTATAGGTATTTGATAATCGCAATCATTGACAACCATACGCATATGGACCGGGCATATATATGTATCGTATCAGTTACTTTTGGACGTACAGCGACTCAATACAGGTTATCACATAGTCATACTAGCGTCAAGCATTGCAAAGACGAGCATTTACAGTCCTTGTCCACCCTGGTTAACCAACTGCCAGGTGTCCGGATGTTCCACTGGACTAAATGAACCATTGAACATAGAGGGTGTGTCAACATCGGGCTGCTGCTCCCTGATCCTCTTCATAGTAGCCGAGTACTGCTTCGAGTCAGTTTCCGTACTCAAAACCTCCGAACCGATCAGACTTACCTTGAAGGCGAAATTCAGCACCAGGGCAACCGCCAGTCCAATACACACGACGATGGGGCCAAATGTGTTGTCCAGATCACGTCCGCTCCGCTGCCGGATGAGCCGGGATCGCTTTTCATACATGTACCATCCCCAAGCGGCGGCAAACACGGCGAAAAAGGTGTAGACAATGGACAAGGCGCGAGCAATATCGTTGTGTTTGCCCGCAGCATTATACAAACCGAGAGACAGAGAAGAAAGCAGGATGCTGACGTGCAGCCACTTGATAAAGGTTCGCTGGTTGGCAAGCCACACCTTGCTCTCTACACGGACAGGGCCTGAATCCTTGATCCAGGTGACGGGTTCACTCACGCCAGGCGGCAGAACAACCGACTGTCGATGAGTGCGGCTGGATCGCGAGATGGGGAAAGACGGGAAAAGTGCGGCCAAGCGGGACGACGTTATTGGCTGCGTTTCTTGTTGAGCAGTCACCCCGGGCAATGTGCGGCCTTCTCCTTCAGGTATTGTAGGCCTGCTCGGCCGCGATACAGCCTGCGACGGCTGTCTTGTCCGCGCGGGAGAGCCCAGGTCTGAGAACATGGTAACCGGGGATCCAACCAGTGGGCGCACGGTAGGACTTGCTCGGTTGCCCAGGAAGCTTCCGACGACCATATCATCCTCGGCACGCTTTGCAAGCCGTTCCTGTTCTTCTTGAAATGCTATTTCGGGATCGCGTCGGATGTCATTCTCCAGTTCGCTCAACCAGAAGGGGAAGCTATTGACATGGTCCTCAAATAGCTGAGCGACACCGTGGACGAATTTCGAGAAGCGCGGCGCCTCCTTGACAAGATGGGAGACCATGAGATCGTTGACCCACTCGATATGATGTGCGCTGCCCCTCAGTTTGATCTCCAGCAAAGCGTGTGGGAATCGATTGACCTCGCCGGTTCTGATGCCGTTGAAGGGGTATTGCATTCCGCTATCGTCAATATCCCTCCGATGCCAATCGGTCGGGTCACGACACGGGCGTTCTTCGTCCAGCGAATCTTCCCTAATGAGTGCAAGGTTGGTGTCGAGGGAAATTCGAATGCGATCGTCACCAGGAATTTGGAACGCAGTGCGAGTGTAATTGGCCCGAAGCATGGGCTGTAGGTTGTTCTCCTTGATGAATGACTGCAGCTCCTCAACATCCTTTTTGAGTGACTCCGCCTCCGCTGATTCGCCATTATTCATACCTTCCATTCGATGCAGCTGTTTCTCGAACGTATATTTGCCCTCGAGGAACTCCTGCACATGCTTCTCCTTAAGCTGCACTTTCACCTCTTTGCTATAGTCATCGCTGGTCACAATCTTCTTCTCCAAAAAAATGGCGGGCGTGTCCTTGAGATTCCCGGTCCACCGAAGTCTGAGAGACCCGGCCTCAGGGGCTTTGGCTACTTTCTGATTGTAGAGGTCGAACTGCGGGTTGTCGAAGTACAAAGAGGTAATTGTGGGGTCCTCGGGAAGCGTCTCAAAATCTCTCGAGGACTTCGGGTTGTAAATGAGCACAGGCAATCGGCGAAGAATGTGAGTTTTGACCTCCAGGATGTTGTCCTCGTGGACCCAGAATTTGTATGATGAGTACGCATCCTGGCCAAAACGAGGCTCGCCGGCATCCGTAGGTTCGACAGCACCCTCACTCAGGATCTGGCGCACAAAGGAATACATCACCGATATCCTATGAACCAGAGGCGAATAGTCCTCGCTGTTGAAAGGGAGCTGCGATAAACGTACTTGCAGCAGCGGCCGTACCCTGTATCGTGCACCGCGCTTGCGGTCATGCTTCTTGGCAGCTTTGAGAAACCCAGTGAAATTGATGCGACTGTACTTCTGGAGCTCGCTGACTTCTTTGGCAATCTGGTCCAATTCTTGAAGAACTTCAGTAGCAATAGTCTTCCTCTCCTTCTCGTCCACGGTGGCCGTCTCCTGGTCCGCATTGGGTGCCAATGGCAGTAATCTGCTCTCACAGGCAGACGTACGCTCTTTCAGCTGCTGAGATGTCTCAACCTGGAAAGCATTGACCTTGTCAAGCTGCACATTGATCAGTTCCTGGACGAAGGCTTCCTCGTCCTGTTCTGTCCACGGAGACTCTTCCGAGTCACTTGCGTCTTCGGTGACATCATGTTCTTTCAAGAGAACCTTCAATTTGTGATAGTCGATGTACTTCCCGCTCCACGGGGCGTAAATCGAGTTTTTCAGCGTCTTGCCAAAACGCATGACGAATTGATGTGCTGATTTCGGCTAAATTGATGTGACGACGGTTGCAATGCTATACTTGGTCAGAGTGTAAGGGCTTGTTGGGAGTAATTCGGAAGAAGCGTCTCAACAAACAGCACAAGACATAAAGCGCATGAATGTGCTGTCAAAGAACAAAGCAGAGGGGAACAGAAAACCGTCGTAAGGCCTGATGAAAGGATTTTAAACAATTGAATCAACGCTTGAGATCTGGTGGCTGGCCCGCACAGTCTAGCCTTCCTGCTAGTTTCATGAAGCTGTTATCAGGAAGTCCAACGCATGCACGTGCTACTCTAGCCTGATGCGTCCTCAGCCAATCACAGCCTCCATGACGTCGAGCTGTTTCACTGTCCAGGAGGAAAATCGCTGCCACAGGTTGGTAATACAAATACTGGATATTGTCCTTTCATGACCGTAAGTATGAAATGGCAACCCGAGGTACCTAGGTTGATTACCGATAAAGCTGTGGTGATAAGATCATAGCATTAAATACCTGTCGTATGACTCTTCGATTCGCAGTCGACGACGGCGCTCAAGTCCATGAAAAGTCCTTTTCGCACGAATATATTGCAATTTACTCGCCTCTATTCTAGATAGCCCATAGCTTACCATTTATGGCGAAAAATCCACGCAATGGAGTCCACCAACCCCGAGTCAAACCAAGAACCACCGTCGGTGCCTAAATCCCTCCACGCTGCATTAAGAGATCTTCATCGTCGCCCATATCCACATGTTCCCAACCCTCCATCGTGCAAGAAACGTGCTTCAGTAGCTCTGGTCCTCCGAGTACGACCAACATATGCTCATTGGCCCGATTCGCCTTCCCCGCCCGCTGAGCGAGATCCAGCCGCTTCCACTGAACAACGATTGGAGACATTCTTCTCTCAGTCTTGGGTTCAGCATGGAACACCAGAGGTCCTGTTTATCAAACGGGCATCACGCGTGGGGGATCGCTGGACAGGACATGTTGCGCTCCCAGGAGGGAAGCGTGATCCGGAAGATACAGATGACCGAGCGGCTGCAATTAGGGAGGCCTCGGAGGAGGTAGGGTTGAATTTGACGACAAATGACTATATTTACATTGGAAATTTGCCGGAGCGGGTAGTAACCACCAGCTGGGGCTCAGTACCGTACGTTGACGATCTTCATCTTCCAGTTTCCTTCGATAATGCTTACAACGTTATCCAAGGTTGATGGTCCTCTGTCCTTTCGTCTTTTTGTCAACTCGGAGCGATTCGCCAACCCTCAAATTACAACCAACAGAGGTGGCTTCATCGCATTGGGTACCTCTCGAGAGTCTTCTATCACCTTCATCGCGGACTATCGAGTATGTTGATATGTCTCAACGATTCGCAAAGCGGGGCGGGCTCATTGCTCGCCTTATTTGTCGGTCCCTGATGGGGTGGATGGAGTTCGCTGCGATTCAGTTGCGACCAAATGAGACTTTAAATTGCAATACGACTCCGAACCCGGATACTATTGTAAACCAGTCAAGCCCTTCAATCTTCCAAAGGTGGAAGACCTGTCGCTCAACCAATAGCACCGCCTCCGTTGACTCAGCTCGGCCTCTTCTTCTATGGGGACTGACCTTGGGAATCTTGGCCGACTTCCTTGATATGCTCCCCCCGCATACGGCTGTGCGGTTGTGGAAGTATCCTACTTTTACAATCCCTGACTTGCGCTTCATAATCAGCATTCTGACGTATCGTCTCCGAAAACGCAATCTGCTCCATGTGAGGTCTGGGGCTCGGACAATCATCAGTGACACGGCCGTGGACAGCCAAACTGCGGCGTTGCCAGTACTTCAAGCAACCAATACAAAGCACGACCACAACGATGTTGGAATTGGAGGGTTGGGAGTAGGCAGATACTACGGGGCTTCAGACAAAGCTTCCGACGGGAGCACATATGCTGTCGGCATTATGCTCAGAGGGTATTACGAGAAGCTGCGTGTTGCGATTTATGTCTTCCTCGTATGGAGGATTGCCTTGGGCTCCATGGCGGCAGTCTACGCGTGGAAATTTCTTCGAGATCGTGGAATTCGTCGGTGACAACCACTATGCGATCTCCACACGTCGTTTTGTGCAGAAGCGATCTTGTATGGCATAAATTCCGGGCGAATCGAGAACTGGTACATACTACAGTGCATGTCCAGCCCTTCTGGCCGCGAGCCGAGGAGTCATAAGGAGATTGTGGACATACCTATACAACAGATACTGGACATTGAAGCTGCCCTACTGGATAGACCGAGTAGATTGTTATCGCTTCATCAGAGTATAATCAGAATTGAACCAGTGCGGTAGCAATAGCTTTGGCAAATCAAGAGTTGGCACTCCACTTTTGTTATATTGCGTCAACGACCATGCCACGTATTGTTCTGTAAATACGTAATATAATGGGTTCCCCACACCCTCTTTCTCCGTATCTATGGAGGTAGTGCAAAAGTAATGATCATGTGACTTGGTTGCTATAAAATTTGAGTGCTGATTGGCTGCAGACACGTGGACCCTCATATTCCTTTCGGAACCACGCCGAATCTAGTACTAAGGTAAGGTAACTTAGATTGATTGTGCAAACAGACCAGAAGCTCATGCTTATCGCGCCCATTATCAATCACAATCATCAAGAGTAAATAAATCATCGCGACCAATTCAAGAATCAATTCATACCTTATACTTTGTATCGGAACTTTACCCTCAAAAACCTTTTGCGATGGCTGCAACACAGAAGCTTTATCCTCGTGGGACTGTGAAGGGCATTGTGAAAGCACATTCCAACCGAAGCGTGAGCAAGAACGCTGATATTCTGGTAAGCAGCAGGTCAACAGTCACGTTAAGCTCATTGACTGATTTGCCCTGGTGGCTTTACACAGATCTTTCTAGATTATATGCTTTTCATGCAAGAGTGAGTCGGCGACTTGCCCTCTCAGCATTTCCCCGAGCATTGGCTGTTACCATCCATGCCATGTCTTTTACCTCGAGGCACAGCCTGAGATACTTGTATAATGGGACTATGCTGACTGGTTTTAAAGATTGATGCGCGAAGCGTCGATAAGGTCGCGAAAAGCCGGTGAAAAACATGTCTCCCCGCACTCTGTTCGCAAGGTCACAGAGGTACATTGTCAATTGAAATCGATTTCATGGTGCTCTTGTGATGGCTAAAGCTCTTTCTTCTTCCTAGAAAACACTACGGAAATTCAAGGGCTGATCAATTGAATTGCCTTCCAATCGATTCTCTCCAACATCGAACGCATACAATCACCACAGTGGAGATGAGGCTACTCAGCGGCTGGGCTCACAAGGAGACTACCGGAGATCGAGTTCCCTCTTCCCCTACTCTTCTCAATATATTGCAAGGAAAAGGAGTACAGGCGTTGTTATTGTGTTGATTCTTATGATACCCGGGCCGGGCCTTGTGGGCTGAGTTCCACAACCAGATATATGATGGTGCTCTCTGAACAGCTATAGTCACTTGATGAAATAGCCATTGTAATTATAAATACAAAGAGATCATCATTTTACCTCAGTTGTAGAAGTGCGGAAACGGATTGGCCGTCCTTTTAAGCTCTTTGTTTTGCCAGTTAGCTGCAGCAGGCACGCGACAAAGCGGCGAGAGGTTCGGAAGAGTTCCACCCACATCTTTGACTCTTCGGGTCATGACAGCTTAGACCAGATCCTCGCACAACTCTCGTCTTTCTGAATCATTTCCCTTTGCGCACTCCTTTCCTTGCTAATTGATATACCAGAACAAGGCATTTCTTAGCCTTCAAGTTTGCTTATCTATTATCCTTTATTTGAATCACAAATCCTCCTTGAACTTTGGAGGTCATCACTCAGAGCTCCCTCATTAACCAGCTGTCGAACCACACATCTCCACTATGGCAGCTGCTTCTGTCAACAGCCACTCTCAGGCTCAGTCCGAGGCCTCTCCAAGGCCAGAATATGCGGTCACTGCTTCTAAAGCAGATGGGACCCAGGGAACAGCTAACGGCGTGGACGTCCTCGACAACCCTCATTTCAAAGATCTTCAGAGGTATGTCAGCTTTTGAGACTGAAACTTGCGCATCCGTTGCGATACTATACTTTGATTGTTCCGATAATGGAAATTGATAGCATACTTATAGGAGCTTGCGCAATACCATGAAGAAGCTGGTGAGTCGCTCCAAGGCGACAGAGAAACATTGGCTCACTCGCTAACAAGCATTTGGTCTGTTTAGAATGCAACCGCAAAGGTTGATGCTATCATCGCGGAAAACCCCGGTAAATCTCTCGACGAGCTGGTCGCAGAGAAGAAGATCAACGTGGACCAGAAAGCGCAGGCCCTGAAGAAGCCTGCGCTCCAGGCCACCGTCGCTCAAATCGAGGAGCAAATCGCTCAATTCAAGAACTTCGCCAGTCATTACGAGGAGCGCCTGAGCAGCCAGAAGACCGCATTGGAGAAGGCTCACAAGGAAGAATTGGATGCTGTTCGGGAAAAGGTTCGCGCAGAGGCTACTGAGGCTCACCAGACGGATCTCAGACAGCGTCTGCTTAGCCTGACCAAGTTCCTTTGCGCTGCCGCCGCCATGAGGCGCTCTGGTGACGAGACATCCCCCGAGAGCCGTGCATTTGAAGGTGTCCTTTACCAAGTCTACGGAGGCTCCCACGACGCTGTGAGCTCTATGGTCAAATTGATTGACGGAGTAGACGAGAAGGTCGTCAGTGTGGAGGGAGAAACACTTGAAGTCACCTGTAAGGAAATCCTTCATATTCTTTTTGATTGAACTCGATTTGGTTCAGTTGATTAACCCAGTCCCGCTTGTCTAGACGGTAAGGTGAAGCAAACATCCGAGGAGTACGCTCCTGGGGGCCCCGCCGAAGAGGTGACCGCGGAAGCAACTGCAGCCTCTGATCCTACGTTGGCGAACGCCGCCTCCACTGAACTCCAGGACGGCCCTCTTGGCGCCGGTGTTACAGCAGCCAACGAGATTGACGCCTCTGCGCCTAAGGCCGAGGTCCCTCCTCCCGCCCAGACTCTCGTTTCCGACGCTGCTAACCAAGTAGCTGAGGCTTCGTGGGAACAGAACGCCGCCGGCTCGCTTGAGTCGTCAGCAAATGCTGACGGCTGGGTTGAGGTGCCTCGCGACCCGGCGGAGACGGAGACAGGCCTACAGGCAACCCCTGCCTCTGTTGATACCGGCCTGAAGAACAACCCGACTGTCGCTGAGGCCTCCGGACAGAGTGATGAACATGTCTCCGTGCCTAAGGCGCAGGGCGGCGACGGATTCGAACCTGTTGTGCACCATCAGAGACAACCCAGTGGCCGTGGGCGGGGCCGCGGTGGACGTGGTCGCGGAGATGGATTCCGTGGCCGCGGCCGTGGCGATTTCAGGGGCCGTGGTCGAGGACGCGGTGGTCGTGGCCGCGGCGGACCCAATGGCGCCCCAGCTGCAGCTCCCGCTGCAGCACAGTGATTCAATCTCAACTTCTTCACGAGACGTTGGTATCTCTACCATGTGCGCTTGAAGAGTAGATCTCTTTGAGATATTAGTCCTCAATCCCATGATACTCGACTCCAGCGCTTCGGATTAGGTCTCGCACTGGGGGTTTTTCCCTCAGCCACCACTGTTCCTAAATTCTCCCTTTATTTTTATTTTTATTTTTTCCTTGGCCATGTCGGTCTCTCCATATCCTTCTCTACCTGTCTTAATGTCCACAAGCGCATCGGTACGGCGGTGTTATGGTTGACGAAAGCAATGAGCAACTCGAAATTTTACCGGGAACAAGGATTCTTGATCGCAAAGGCATGGGTTTGGAATTGTCTGGGCTCTTCTGCACCTTTGCTTTCTGGTTCGCTCTTTTGGTCGGTTGATGTTACCAAAAGTCCCCGTTGTATATGTCTGGCAGTTATTGAGCGTGCATAGGTCTGATCTTTTCCATCTCCTCTTTCATTTTCTGTAGATTCTTCTCTCCATCTTCCGCGCCACCTGTGTGTTCCAATGGCCCTATTTTTACTTCTTTGGCTTCATTTCCTTCACTGTGTTCTACTGAACTGTTCACCTCAAGTCTCGAGGCCCAACAGTCCGAACTTGGGGCATGGAGTGGGGGTTGTATGGTGAAGAGCAGGTTGCTATCACGGCGTCGCAGGGACATGGCTGGTCTGTGGGAGAATGGGTCACTCTTGGTGTAGATTAGGGTGTACAGCGAATGAAATGAATGGCATTCATCTCGCCAACAGCAGTCTTCTCGACGCTATATTGTAGCTTCGAGGCATCAGTAACAGTTGATTAAGTCCGAAACTGGCAATAGGGCTCAGGGCTATGACATAATCTGTGTTCCTGGTGTCTCGACCTCAGATGATTACCCATCAGCGATGGGCATCGGTGTCTCATCCTGATGGATACCAAATTCCCCTTTTGTTTTTTTCCTTCTTCGTTTCGTTCAAACAAGTCACTCGTTGTTTAATCCCTCATGCTCTATTTCACTTTGCCGATTGCGCGAACCTGCAGTCCGAATTGATCATCATGGCGCTGGCCGCGGATCACCGAAAGAAGATACTTCGAGTGTTGATGATATCACTCCTTCTAGACCTGGTGGGAATAATCCTATATCTCCGTCAGTTTCGGAATGCTAAAGACACTTATTAACTGACTTTGTGCTAGATCTCCTTTACATTCATTCTTCCACTCTTTCCTTCGCTGCTTACGTTCTATCGTTCTCAAGACCCTTCTCCCAGCTCTCTTCTAAACCGTGTCTTCCACTATCTCAACGCGTACAAGAACTCGTTCGCGAAGCCGATCGACTCGCGATATGATATAGTACTCCTTGGGGGAGCGCTAGGATCGCTCTTCTCTCTTCTACAAGCCATTGCCGCCCCTTTCATCGGCCGACTATCCGACAGATATGGACGACGGTCGGCGCTGCTCTGCTCCATGGTCGGGAACACTCTGAGTGTCGCGCTATGGGTCGCTGCGACAGATTTTCGTACCTTCCTCGCCAGCCGCATTGTCGGTGGTCTGAGCGAGGGCAATGTGCAGCTGGCGCATGCAATTGCGACGGATATCAGCGACGAAAGTCAACGGAGCTCAACCATGGCGCTGGTGGGAGCGTGCTTCAGCATTGCGTTCACCTGCGGGCCGGCCCTTGGTGCCGCATTGTCGAATATCACCACGGTGGCTGCAAATCCGTTCGCGACCGCTGCGGGAGTGTCACTTGTCCTTATTGTCACCGAGACACTGTATCTGTATCGCTGTCTGCCGGAAACACACCCCCGGTTGACCAAGCTCAATTTTGGTCCTCTCAAAGCTGAGGACATCGCCTCCTCGACGCAAAAGAATAATAACGAATCTGGCGCCTCAAAATCCGATTCGGCAATGCCTTGCAAACACACGAATAATCCCGCCCTCCTCAACCTGCTTCACTTTTTCTTCCTTCTCCCTTTCTCCGGGCTAGAGTTCTCGCTTCCCTTCCTTACAGCGACATTTTACGCAGGAAGCGCTGCATCTCCGTCTGCTCTGAACGGTCGTCTTCTCTCCCTGATGGGACTCATCGCCTCTCTGCTCCAAGGGACCGTCGTCCGACGTCTACCGCCCCTCATCACTCTTCGCGCAGGGGTGGTAGCTTGCACCATCTCTTTCTTCCTTCTAGCCCGAGTATCTTCGCTCGTCGGGCTCTATTCGGCCGGTGCACTTTTGGCTGTGACCAGTGCTACGGTTGTGACAGGCCTGAATAGTCTTGGTAGCTTTGAAGCGCGGGAAGGAGAGCGCGGCCTTGTTCTGGGTCGACTGCGAAGTTGGGGCCAAGTAGGTCGGGCTGCGGGCCCACTTCTCTTCTGCTCACTTTTCTGGTGGGTTGGACGCGAAATTGCCTATACCACTGGTGGGTTCGCAATGTTGGCGGTCTGTTTGGGCGTATTTACGACATTGAAGTCGCCTCCTATGGGATCTGCGACCAAGGCCGTCAAGGTGAAGGCCTAGCGGTCTTCTTTAGATGCATGTATCAAATCCTTGAGTGTATATATTCGGCATAGCTGGATCCTTGGCTGACTGATTAATCAACCAACAACAAGCGGGGCTGTTCATAAAGATAAGACGTCATTTCCTTCGATATGTACCACTAAGCAGCTTCAACGGCCGGTCAGAATTTCATCATCGACTCTATAACATTCGTTGCTGGGTATAATACACGTAAGTAGTATAAGTACATGTTGAAAAGAGGAGATGGTGCGAATTTTAAGACAGCAGACGAAGAAAACACAATCAACACTATGAACTTCAAGTGAAGTGCCACACATACGCCAAATATGGCCAGCAGTGCCAGTAGAACAACACTACAAAGTATCTTCGTGTTATATGAGGATATTTCGCAAGGGCTTACAAACCCATCATCAGCTGCATCCTGGAATCTGCAACTGTGAGCTATGACGACCGGTCAGAGCCGCGATGCGTGCGAGACGAGGGAAAGAAACAGGTCTGGCAGCCCTGGATCGCCAGCCCAGGCGCTGGAGGGTCTAGTGAACCCCTCGCCTTCCCAATCAGCCAGTCAGTCAACGTGACAAACTTGGCAGTCCGGTCCCATCCGTCCGCATCGTCCGCATGCTCGATCGTGTGCGAAGAAATCCGACCTTCTTCATCAAAGGAGAAGATGAACAGCCCCGTAAACTGCTCTTCATTCGACAGTTTGAAGATAGGTGCATCCCCACCCAGAAGCACACTGAGTCCCTTGTTGACGCCATTCTTCGCAGAAGTATGGCTGAGATTTTCTGACGACGGCGACGATGACAAGGCCTTGTTAGTCCCGCTCGCGGCAGCGGCTGAGCCATCTTTATGCCCCTCTCTCCTGGGTTCTGTTCTCCATCGGACGACTAGCCGCTCATCTCCGCTTTCGCTCTCACTGCATCCATCTGGATCTAAAACCGTGCCTGCACGAACGATCCGCTCGCTGAGAATCTGCAATTTCACGTTGCCGACTAGCGGTAAGCTGCTCCACGCCACAGGGACAGTCCAGAGCGCGGCTCGATACAATGTCCGACCTTTCACCGTGGGAAGGTGCGGATGGGTCGAGGGAAATAAGTGAAGTGTAATGTTGGGCGAAAGAATCTTCGGAGGTAAAGGGTTGATGAGTAGAGTAGGTAGTAGAGGAGAGAGAGTGCGTAGCGCTGCGGATGAAGGGCACCGGTCAGCACGAATCCATCCTCTCATCGAGAATTCATCTCTTCACCCAGAGACAACCACACGTACTTTTCCCGAGTTTCAGAATCCGTTCGTCAGGTGGCTTATGGTCATTTTGCGGGCCACCATTCAGCCCGTCTATGGACGATTCATGATGCGTCTGCGAGAAGAGCGTGGGCGATATGGGCGTCGGCCAAGAGTCATTGAGAATCCCGTGCCGTGGCTGCGCCAAAGGCCGTACTGGAGATGACACGAAGTGCTGACGGGGACTAGACAGAGAGATAGATTTCCGTGGAGCTTGGAGGAGACATCGAATAGGCTGAGGAGGAGACGGAGCAGAAAGCAACTTCGGCATCACGACGTCGGAAATGAGAATAATACTTCAAAGGGCATGCATAGGAGTATAATCAAATTGAAAGCCGTACTAGACGACGATATAGAAGCGCCTGTCAAGCCATATGTCTGAGATTTTATTGGTGTAACGGCAATGGGCTGAAGTTCAGTAGACTCAGAACTAAGGCGTGAAGTCGAAGTTTCGGTTTGGTTTCGCCGATGACGTCGGGAGATTCGCCGAAGCCAAACCGAAGCATCGACAACATTCGGACCAACATATACACATTTTAATGGTCAAGTCTGTCAAGTCCACGTACGGGAGAAGGTTGAGGTCGGTTCATCAAGACTGTACATAAAAGTCGAGTTATATCGATATAGCTACCCATGAAAATGCCGAAACCCAAACCGCAAATAAGATCATAATCATATACAGGAATCGGAATCCCACTAGAATTAAGCCAGTTCATCATCATCGCCTGTCCCCGTATATCGCCGCTCGGCCAGATCCCGAATCTTGTCTTCCAGCACGCCTCGCCCATATCGCTCAGCGATCTTGGCTGCGGCTTCGACCATCTTTCCATTGCGATCCTTCATCATCCGAACTAACTCCAAGGCCTTCATGCCACGCTCCTCGCCTTCTCTGCACTCAACTGCCAGCATCTGTAGTAGGATCTTATCCAGTTCGATCTCTTTCCTGGCCAGCTCGGCCCTTTGACTGGGTGTCGCGTTGGTTGAGGACAGGAGATCCTGGAACAGGGAGAGGAGAACGCTGCCACGGACAAAGGACTCCTCAAACCGCGCCGAAGCGTCGTTGCGAGATTCATCGCCCTCGTCATCGTCGGATGCTTTCTGTGGCCTGTCGGATATGGGGATCCGAAAGTCGAACTCACTGAGCAGTGGTCGAGGGAAGTACGGATATCTATCTCCTCCTTTGAGAATGATGCAGTGAAATTTCTCTTGCGCGACTGCCACAGGCCAGTAAGTTTCCTCTTTTCGCCCGCCTGCCAACCGCTCAAGCTGTTTTGTATCAAGTAATGGAACCCAGCGAGCCTGGCCATTAGTACGCCAGTGCTGCAAGATGAGGAGGACACCTTCGGAATCGTAGATGCAAGGATCCTGAAAATATGATGAGTATGCCACTATTACCGGCATTGATCAGACAGATGACTCACCCCTGTATCAGAAAAGAAGACGCTGCGTAACTCTGAGCCCTCGGGAAGAGCAACCACGTCCTCGTTTTGACATACTTCATCCCTCTTGACATTCTCAATGGAGTACGTGAGAGTCGCTGTGAGGCCATCGCTCCCCAAGGGTCCGTTACCAATCGTCATCACATAATCGCGCCATGCAGCGCACGTCACAGCTGGGCTTTTTTGTCTGTACACCTTATAAGGCGTCCCAAACAGGGTGTACACACGAACGTAGTCCTTGGTCGTCACAGCAACAATGTATGAATCACTTAGCGCCAGCGCTATATCCCCGTCAGCTGCCAGTCTCGAATGAGTCGGGCTCACAGTGCCTACCTCTGATCAACTCTCCTTGAGGTAACTGTGTCCGCCAGTCCGCACGCGTGGTCCAGGTCTCATGAGGGCGATAGAATATAGTAGCGGGACTGCCATCGGTTGGGTTATTCGAGAATAGAGTCCCATTCTCGTCTAGAGATAATTAGCATGCATCTATACAACTGGATAATGTTCCATACTGAGACATGCGCGATCATAGAGGTAGGGGTCAGTGAAGTGAAAGTCACGGTGTAGTTCTCGGTCATAAAATTCCACGGTCACCGTATTATGAGTCTCCTGATCAACTGTCCACACACAGCCGGTCAGGTTCAAACCTAGCTCAGTCAGCACTTTGTTACTCAGCTGACGCTCGAAGTCAAGACATACAGAGGTACCGTCGATTTCCTCTCCAAGGTGTGCTCCCTGGCTGAAGAGGAGGGTGGGCCTTGGGCTTTGTATAGCTGGTCAACAATCGTTTCTCGGCAGGGCCGGCAATATCGTCGAGATGTCCATTTGTTCGCTTGCCGTAGAGGTTAACGCCCTCCGCATAACCAGCCCCATCATCATCCTCGACAAAGTCCTCCATACCCTGATCAGAACCAAGGAGATCATCAAGAGAATCGGGCGTTCCCCCTCTTCCTGGCCGCTCTATTGGCTCTTTCGGTCTGTTTGTCAATGGTCGAGCTGCATTACCAGACACCTCCGCCAGCACGCCAGGGAAGATAGGGGCGGCCTGGAGAGGCTTTTGGGTGTGATGCTGATGTTCCTTTGGCACAAACCCATCGTAGATGAAAAGCTCGCCATCTGACGTTGTAAACGAGAGCGAATTATTGGTAGGGTGCCAAGCAAGATTGATAACGTTGGCGAAGTCGTAACGGTGCAATACTTGCTGTGTTTTGGTTTCCCAGATCAAAATCTTGCCGTCCGCACCAGCTGTCGCAAGAAGAGCCCCATTCGGTGACCAGCTGACCGTGGTAATATCTCCGTTGTGACCACCCGAGAAGACCTTTTCCTTCTTCCATTCAGACATAGAATAGATTGCGATGTCTCTAGTCACTTCTGCAGCTGCGAATGCTGTTCCATCAGGGTGCCAGGCGATTTTTGCCGTTGCTTCGTCCTCCGCTTCGAGTCGTCGAATGACGCCGTCTAATTTCCGTACTAGTTCTGGTTCCTCCGAGAAAATCGAATAAATGTAGAGTAGACCGTCCGTGCATGAGACGGCTATGTATCGTCCGTTTGGGTCGAAGGAAACGTGCTTTGTGCCTTTGGCTTGCTCTCGGAGGTACTTGACTTTCGTCATGTCTTCGATGTTGACGATCTTGACTGTGAGCTCACTGGATGCTGTCAGCTTTCGCACGAAGAGTACCTTCATGTAGAATTAGACTGACTCGCTCGCAACTGCCACCCACTCTCCGTCCTTGGAAACAGCTAGATCCCGGACGGGCAGCGCGCACCGTACAAGCAGCTGTTCCATCTTCCCTGACCCTATTCCATACTTCCAAACGGTGCCATCTTCCGCTCCCATAATAAACGACTCATTCTGCGAAGCGCATTAGTCTCCTGCAGCATCTCGAACAGATGTCCAACATACTGTAGCAACGACACCCAAGTTGCCATCAACGCCATCGTCGATCGTTTTCGGTTCGCCGTCTTCGCCGACTGTATAGACCCGGATCGCCGAATTGGAACCGCCAGTGACAATCCGACGACCGTCCGGTGTATACGTCAACACAGTTGTTCCAGGTGTGTCTGAATGAATGAAAACACTGTTAGCCACCTCCAATATTATTTCAATGGCTGCACTTACGGGCCGGTCTGCCTCTGGGGCGGAGCGCTTCTGTCGCCATGGTAGATACCGATCAGTAAATGCCGGTAGAGGTGAGCCCTGGAAACACAATCATAAAAACTGCGCTATACACCTGAATCCAGCACAGCGCTGGGTCAATTCCAATACTTGAGTCAGTAGATTGTTTCTCCGACAGCGCAATGCGGAGCATCACGGCCAACGCGTTTCTTGCGCGGGGACGCGTCGACGCGGCGTAATGACTTTTAACCCAATCGGGAAACGCAGGGCTTAGGGCACGGGGCCAGGGCAGCGCCAAAATCCTATGCCTCACGCCAGAGGTACAAGTAGACCATAATGAGCATTTCATTTCAATGGATCGTAGATGTATGGTTGGCTAGCTATTCATTTACTAACATCTCATGGCCCAGTGGCCGTGAGGAAGTCAAAATCAGCACCATCTTGAGCCTGATTGACTGACCGTTCATACAAACCCCGATAGCCTCTTCTCCGTGTTCTGTCCAGCCAGCCTCTGGCTGCATCTGAGCCTTCTTTCTTCCTTGCCTCAATACGTGAATTGAGTTCTTCATCGGATATTTCTAGTGTCAGCTTCCCGTTATGGGCATCGCAAGTGATCATGTCACCGGTCTGCACCACCCCAAATGGTGACTCGGGCAGCGCTGATTCTGGTGAAATATGGAGGACAATAGTGCCGCCTGCTGTTCCTGACATCCTTCCGTCCGAGAGACGCAGCATGTCCTTGACCCCTGCAGAAGCGAGCTTGCGCGGTATTGGAATCAGACCGGCTTCTGGCATGCCCGGATTGCCAATAGGGCCTATCCCCTTTAACACAAGCACGGAGTCTTTGGTCACCTCTAGATCTGGATCATCAATCTTTTTGGCCAGATCTTCTGGATTTTCAAACACGACAGCTGGTCCTGTGTGCGAAAGAAGTCTGCGATCTTTCGAGGCGGACGCTTTTATGATAGCGCCATCAGGTGCGATATTACCTCTGAGGACAACTAGAGAAGCCGAGGGGTAGAGCGGATTTGCTAGTGGCCTGACAACTTGCTGTGAAAGTGGAAATGTGCGAAAGGGAGAAGTGTCCAGAACCTCACCCAAAGTCTGGCCAGAGATCGTCATGGCCGAGAGATGTAAAAGGGGACGAAGGGTATGCAGCAGTGCCAGCATACCCCCAGCATTATGGAAATCGTTCATATAGTTGTCACCGCTGGGCTTCAGGTCAATCAGCAGAGGAGTGCTTCGCCCAATCTCTGCGAAAGTATCCAACGTTATAACCCCCTGGAGCTTGGGATGCCGATTAACAATAGCCATCAGATGGACGACGGCGTTTGTCGATCCCCCGATCGCTTGAAGAACTGTGATAGCATTGAAAAACGACTCTTTCGAAAGAATATCTTGCGGTCTTCGCTTAGCAAGTGCTGCAGCCACAGCGTGGCCCCCCGTTTCTTCTGCAATTCTGACCCTGGCAGACGATACTGCGGGTGCAGAGGCACCTCGCAGGGGCATCAACCCTAGAGCGGCGGTGATGCAAGCCATAGTACTGGCAGTGCCCATCACGCCACAGGTCCCAATCTAGAAGCCTGAGTCAGTACGGTGTACTACCAACAATTGTGAGTCGCTGTAGCTGTAGGGACAAACCGTCGGTGCAAGCTCGTCGTTAATGGCCGAGATCTCCTCTATGTCTATGTCTCCTGCACGAAAAGCCGCCCAGTTGTTGCGGCAGTCAGTACAGGCACCTATTCTCTGCCCGCGATGGCTGCCCGGCATCATCGGTCCCGTTACGAGCGGCAAGACTGGCTTGTTTGCCGAGATACCACCCATGAGTTGGGCGGGGACGGTTTTGTCGCATCCTAGCCCAGTCAGCCTTGACCGTCCTGTGTTTGGGGTGCTGGCTTAGCTAGAAGAGGGAACTTGATAAACGGACCTCCAATCATGACGCACGCATCAAGCGGCTGGGCTCGAATCATTTCCTCCGTATCCATACTCATCAGATTGCGCAGGAACATGCTGGTCGGATGAGAGAATGACTCATGTATACTGATAGTAGGAAACTCTATCGCCAGGCCCCCATTGAGCTGGATACCGCGCTTAGCAGCCTCGATCAGCTGGGGTACATTCGCATGGCAGGGGTTGAACCCCGAAAAGGTGTTGATGATGCCAATGATAGGACGGGACAGAGCGTCCTCCGAGTATCCCAGCGCCTTTATAAAGACCTTTCTGAGGAATAGAGAAAAGTGTGCATCTCCATAAGAAGTCAGACCCTGACGCAGACCAAAGTCGGAGGATATAGCTGCTGATAGATCATAGTCTCCCCTCGGCGAATACTCCGCCTTGTCATCCTGCATCGTTATCGACTGACTGAAAACAACAAAAACAGGTTCAAACTATGTATATGCTGGCTGTTTTGTATTCAAAAATGTAGAACATGAGCCTTCTATGTCTTCGCTGATGAGGCGATCAAATATCCTGATAGCGTCAATATCGGCACAACTCCGTGATCCGGATATTTCTCCGCATCGCCTGTATAGTAATAGAGTGCCTCTCACATGCGGAGTACACCAATGTTCCTGAGGGCTTAGGATAAAACCTTTCGAGAACAGGACGGATTCGCTAAGGTAAATGATTATGATGACAGGAACCACATTGATCCAACTAGAGGTTACAGCCCAACGACCACTCTGAAGGAAATTCATGGACAGGCTTTCGAATATGATGACAAGGGGCTATATTTACATATAAAAAAAGAGATATTACTCAAATCATAACATCACTCGTAATCTGGATGTCAAAAGAGAATAACCTCATCATAGCTCTTCAATTAGCGTTGCAAGGAATGAGAGGCTGTCTTTCCAATTTCTATACGCGCATTCTCAAGCGTGCTCTAATGTCATTCTTAGGCAAATACGCTCCGCTAGAAGGCCTATGTCCTGGAATTGCGAAATCTTTGTCATTTGCCGGCTCGATGTCCCACATCGAAATGATTGCAGCAGAGAAGAGTAGAATCGTCCTTTCAGCGAAAGCACGACCCTTGCAACCAGAAACGCCGCCGCCGAATGGATAGATGGTGTGCATGTCCGCCTTTTGTGCGCCTGTGTCTGGATCTGTGGCGACAAACCGTAGCGGATCAAACTGCTCCGGGTTAGAAAAGAGTTGGGGGTCTTTCTGGACCACCCCGTGAGCCATGATTACGTTTTCCCCTTTTCCGATCCGGTAAGTGCGTGGTTCCGCTAAATTGGCTGCTGCTGCATCTTCAGGGGACTCAGTAACGGTCAAGTCAGAGGTGACTTCACGAAAGGAAAGCCCTGCTGAATCTAACCGCATGGTCTCATAGAAGGTGGCTTTGAGTAGTGGGCAAGAGCGAAATAACCCATCTGGATCAAGGGAGACCTTGGGTGGTTCTTGGAATGGGAGCCCTGTCTCCTCGCGACTGGGCCTATGGACCTTTGCAAAAGGAGCAATCTCCTTACGGATTTCCTCCAGAAGAGCAGGGTCAGAGTAGATGCGAAGAATGTGCCAGAAAACAACGTTGGGTGAGTTGGCGTTCAGGGCCCAGAATAGAGACAGATGACCAGGGGCGCTTGACCTTGGCGATAGTCCGAGTTCTTTGAACTTCCGGATCCGTTGCTTCATCGGCTCTGATACATCATCAAGATCGCGAAACTTGACACCGGGGTCAATTCCTTCATCCCAAGAGATGAACGCCTGGTGGTAGGCTGCAAGAGCATCCAAAATGCGATCACGCGCTGCATATGCGGCCGAAAGACCTGGCCATGGTAACCAGCGGGGAGCCCCAAGCGACAGAGCAGGGAATCTGTTATCAAACGCCCACATATCATCAAGCAGATTAGGAAAGACTTCAAGAAGAGCTTGTCCCATGGACACGGATGTGCTGATGTGTCCCACGAAGTTTCTCACAAGAGCAAAAAGGTTCACTTCGGCCATAGGCTTCTCCTGCCCATCGACAACTTCAGCTTCGCTCCTGCGCTCCCACGGCGCCTGGTCAACCATGCTACGACAGAACGTCACTAGATTAGGAATCTCGCGTTCAGTGATGTACTTGGCGACCTTGGAAGCCTCTGTGAGAAAAGGTTCTCTCATTAAGAGGTTGGGGATATTATGGTGGATGATATGGTGGTCAGTGGCGCTGAGGTTACGAATCGCGCCCTTATCACCACCGACCTTTTCCAATGCGTAATTGATCAAAGCAGTAGAAGATGTGTCTCGGGAGGCCAGGACGGCCCTAGTGAGCGACGGTGACACTACGATATCGTGCTTTGTGCCACCCAAAATGATGCCAAATACAGCTTCGTTCATGTAATCTCTGTGTTTCCAATCAGCCACTTAACTCTGTACAACTCATAGGCGACGTAAGCACGAACCTTGTCCTTCGAACAAAGTCGATATGATCCCAGCCAAAGGGAATACTATGCCCCAACCATGGAAGCCAGTATGGTGCCACCCTTACTGATCTTGGATGTCCTGCATCTGTCCTCTTATCGGGCCGGCTTTTGAGGCCAGTAATGATGCGGGTAGCGAGACATGAGCAGAGAAGAATAGCCAGCAAAGTCGGCCATATCCACTCTCGAACATCGTCCATAGACAATCGTAGCAGGCTACTTGGGGTTAACTTATGATTTTCCATCATTCCCCATCCGATTAAACCGAACAGAAGCTGTAAAGGGAAACTGCCCTGGCAATGGAGGGAATGCTAAAGGACCGAGAGAGGTACAACAGACATATGACGACAAGCCAAAAGAAATGGTAAATAAGCAGGCCAAAAAAACTAGCAGTAAAAACCTGTTTCAATGTTGGGAGCAAATATAAGGTACTTAATACAGAGGACAACACAATTTCAAGATGGCAAGAATTATTCAATCAATCTCCAAGGATAAAAGACAGATGGACAGCAGATACTGAGAGTGTAATATTGTGTAAGCATGAAACCGTAATTTTACACTGGCCGTTTACTCGACTGTTTACCCTCCTCATCCTCTAGGAGTGTCGGACAAAACTGCTATCATGAGGTGCATCGCTATGTTTCAACCCGCTACTCTCGAGCGAATTCAAAATTTGAATCTGACTTCATTGATATAGTACATACATTATCACTTCATCGGACATACCGGTTGCCACGACTCACACGACTCATACATCATTCAATCAATGTTCGCTCCGAAGAATCTTCTGTAGAAATGCACTTTCCTTCTCATATTTCGCAATCTTGTTTTGCGAACTGTATACTTTGTTGAGCAACCATTGGATTCTGCCTGTCAGTTCCCGCGGCTGCTTAGGCAGAGAGCCCAGCAGGCTGAGTTCTTCCTCGTATTTTCCGATGCTCTTATTCTCTTTGTTGATCTTCTGTGCTATGATTGCGAGCTCCATGCGACTGCTCAACGATTTGTTCTCGGTGACCTTCTTGAACGCTGCGCGAAGAACGGGCTTTCCAGGCCGGATTGTCTGGGGGCAGCCGTTGACGGCGGCGATTGAAATGAGTTCGGCGTGCTCGAGAGCGCGAAGGGTGATCTCGCCATTGTCTTTGAAGAGCTCGGAGAGAACAACTTCATTGTAAGACAGAGCACCATCTTTGGACTCTGCAAGCTTTTTGATCAGATACCAAGCCTGTTCGTGGGTCCACGACTGCTCTATAGTTTCCGGCGTCAAAAGGAACATCTTGAGAATTTCAGATGCCGACTGTTCGATAATGCGATTGACCGCGCCTTGAGCGTGTGTTAGTAATCTATCGTAGAGCATGGCCGGTGCTCTTGACGTACCTCGTGGTGTCTCTCCTGCCTCAATACGGTGTGCCATGAATTCAAGATCTGTCACCCTGCCTCCCAAGGTCTCAATGCAAGCGTCTAGGTCCTCCAGCTCTTCAGCACGCCGTGGCTGAGTCTTCCCATCCTTTGACTCATATTCCAAGTGATTCATAACAAACTTCCTGCCGACCTCCAGAGAACAGTCACCCAGGGTGATTGTGCGGAAAACCGAATTAGGCAACGCTTTGCTCAAAGGTTTGGCGTACGAGACATCGGTCGTGAGGAATATGACATGGGCAATGTTTCCGGCCGTTAGGCCAGCGGCCCACTCGGTGATCTTGTCGTACACGACGCTGCCCTCGGAAGCATTGTGCAGGTAGTTGTCGATTATCACCACGGGGCGAAGCTCGGGATGAGCCTCAAGATACTCTTCATCGGTCAAGTGCGACTCCTTGTCATCTTTCTTCCTGTGCTCTAAGGTCACTTTCTTCAGAGCAGTAGCCGTGTTTTGCCAGATGTTGCTCAGCTGGGCGTCCAGCGTCTCCGAGAACCCTGCTTTGGTCCCAATCATTCCCTGTGCCGCGAGATCGATAAAACTGCTGATGCTGTTCATCCATGAGAAAACCGGTCGGTAGCCTACCTGACTGGCTGCCCTCGCGATTTTCGCACTGTCACCCCGTGCGTCCTGGATTTGTTTACAGTCGATGACTATCTTATATTTGTAGTTGACCAGCGCCCGGTCCAATACAAGCTCCCGCTTGCCCGAGCCACGGGGTCCATGAACCACGATGAAAGTCTCCACATTCTCCATGAGCCAGGATTGCAGTCGAGTAATGTCGTCCTGACGGTCCTCCCATATGGCCGTGAGCCCGCGAGGATCGGCCCCTTTACCACCAAAATAAATGATGTTTGCTTTGTTGGCCTGTTTGCGGATCCATTGCATCACGCCATTCTCTTCGGTCTGAAGTGTAGACTTTATTTTCAGTTTGATGAAAAATGTCCGCATTGGATCGAAGATGATGACGGTGATGGTGGCCAAAAGGGCGGCGAGCACAGGGATCACGATTCTGGGATGACTCAAAAGCCAGTCCTTGATCATAGATAGCTTTATCTTCCGTTCGTACTTGATCTTCAGCCGAGTACCCGATTTGCCGCCACCCTCTTGTTCTGGGACAGTGAATCCGTGCATACAGTTCTTCGCCATGCCAGCGTACTTGGGCCGAGAAAATTCCACGAAGGCATATCTGGGCGTGACCTTCGAGTCAGACGGTTGTTTCTCTATGTCTCTGATCTTCCCATAGGGGCGAAATAGAGTGTATAGAGTCTCTGTGCTCAGATCTGCCGCTGATGCTTCGGGAGACACAGGGTGGAACGCAACCTTGAGGCGGGGGCTTGGAATGCGATAGAGATCTTCTATCCAGGGCCTTCCAATGACGCGACATACTTGGACTTCTTCAAAAGGATTGAACCATGGCCTGATGGGATGCTCTTTCAGATTCTCTTTAATAGAGGCTTCAATGTCCGCGTCGTTGACATTGCTTGGACGAGTGTACTTGACAAACGCGCCGCCTTCCCTGAACCGCGGAACGACCTCTTTAACTTGGATATTGAGGTTCTCTGGAACTACTCGTTGGATGATCTTAAAAGTATCCGATGCCGCCAAATGCGGTCTGTCGATGCGCCTCACTGCCTCCTCGTAGGACCGCAAACCACCCAGCGGACCCCCCAGCAGCCACTGCAGTTTGGACGGAAAGATATCTGTTTTTGAAGCATTAAGTTACGCGTAGGGGTGACACATGGAAGATAGGCAAGGTCTTACTATTGACAAAAAGGAGTCCCTCATCCTTTTTCAGATCAATGTGTCCTGTCTCGAGCCATGACACTGCATGAGAAGAACTCAATCTTGCATAGCGGGCTCGAGTCAGTTGTGTAGCAGGAGGTTTCCAGGATAAAGGGGTCTGGCAGATTCGAGGTACCAACCCCGGGATTCGAGTTCGCATCATCGTGGCGGGGATGACATTCTTTTTTGAAAATTGTAGAAGAGTGTTGCCAAAGATGATTGTGGTGGATTGATATCCTTAAGTACTTTCTATGAGGGGAAGCTTGGTACCTACTTATGACGTCGATCACGAGCGCATGTGTAAAGCCAATACAGCATGTAACAACATTTATTACAGGCGTGTTTATAAGTTGCTCCAGATTACCGTCACAGCTCGTTTGCGGGATGAACTGCGAAATTTACACCTCCGAAGACGACGATCGTTTTCACATTAAGATGCGTATATTATTGATGTGGATAACTCCATCCACAAGACAAAGAGATCTCTCCATCCCATAATCCCCCAGCACACGATAAACTCATAATGGGCTGGCTTTGGAGATCATCCCCCTCGAAGGAGGAACCTCAAGCGACCTCCTCTATGCCTTCTATGTCCGACGATGCGGCGCCGCAGCCATCACCTGCAGCAGAGACACCAGGAACCACGCCGCCATCGTCGCAGTCTCGGCCCTTGAGTCTCGAGGAACAAGCTGATGCAGAGTTCAACCAGTTACTGGAGAGCTTAAAAGCCGACGTATCACGAACAAAATCACCGCAGCAGTCGTCCAGTGTCTCAGAATCTCCCCTATCCCCATCATCAACATCACCTTCCGGCCCTCCGCAACCTCCAGCTTCGATCGCCCCTGAGTCTCTCTACCCCGATACCATGTCCTGCCGCTCTGCTTTTGACTATGCTTTTTTCTGCCAGTCGTTTGGAGGCCAGTTTGTGAACGTATACCGCTACGGCGAGCTGCGGTCGTGCAGCGAACACTGGGATAATTTCTGGCTGTGCATGAAGGCCCGCGGAATGGCGGACGAGGAGCGCAAGAAAGTGATTCGGGACCACTACCGGAAAAAGGCCGTCAAGTACAAGACCGGGCCGAGCAGTGAGGATGTCTGGGACCTTCGGAGGGAACCAGTACAGCATGCTTTCCAGGGGGATTTTGCCGCACTGGAGAGGGAGATGAAGGCCGAGGAGGAAGCAAGTCGCAACGCTGGTGGGATATAGAGCCATTCTTCGCTTTTCGGTCCTGTCTTTCTTGTGGCTCTATATCGTCTGGATTGGATGCCTGTCCCTTCCGGGACGATTGTATTATACATTGTGGACTACGGAGTACATCTTATGTTTAGCAACTGGGATACTACTGAATGAATCAAGTTTTATTATCCTTGACTCGTCGCGCCGCAGTTTCAAACATGGATAGCTGCTCTTTCATGACTCGACGATTCGGAGAAATCAACCTCTCCGCCGGTGACACATACAAAGCATTTGTGTCTAGAACAAGGACAAAGAAGATCCTCACCGATGCCATTGTTTCTCATTGTTCATCCGCCATCGAGGCTCAGTATCAAGGCTCCAAGTCAACGTATGTCTCATATCACTGTTCCAGACCTCAGGGGCTCAGCAGACGACTATGGTTATAAAAGCAAAGGGACCGCGCAGCCAAAAAAAAATAAATGAAGTACTCAACAATTCCTGCCTTCCCCAATTCGCCCAATCCTAACTTTATGATGTCTCGTCTAACTCACCTCCTGTTCCTACTCATCGTCATCATGGACTGCTCACCTTCACCTCCAAGGCCCCAGTCACCACCGTTGTCCCCACCACCACGGCGTCGTTCTCGCAGACGACGGCGGTTTTCAGACCGCTTCGCGTGCGGTCACGGCACCCACACTGACGACGATCACAGGTATCCGCCGGAACGCACGCAGTCGCTCGAAAGACCCAGCGATGACCACCAGAAAGACGATGCCCCGCCCGCCAGAAAGATTGTCCGCTGGGGTCACGTCACTGAGATTCCTAGCCCCGACTACAGAAGCCGCGAGCGCGAGGGCAGCCCTGGTGGCTATCGCCCGTCTTGCAAAGTCGCAGCCAAGCCCTGCTTGAAACCGCCCACTTCCTCAGATCAGGAGATGGTGCAGAGGAACCTTCAGGCCATGGTGGACGTGTCTACAAACCGTCTGAACATGTACTACAACGCCATGGAGTACTTCTCCGGTGACGTGGTTCTGGACGAGGTCATGTGTCAGGACGAGGGACGCCTTTTCCAAAAGGCAAGGAGACAATCTTTGAAAGATACGTTCGGCTTCGTCAGGTCGCCATCTCACACTCCATCCAGGTCCAGATCGGGAATATCGCTTTGAAATGAATCAATGCAGAACGTAGCGCAGTGTCACGACATCCAGATAGTCTTCTCCTGGCGTCAACGATGGCTTGGCGATGGGGAAGGTAAGCTCTTACCTCCACTAAAGGCTCTCAAAAAGCAGAATAGACCCGACGAGTTTCAACTCTTTTCTCGGACCCCAATGGTCGAGGAGCATTATCAGCAATCAAGAACGTCCTGGATGGAATGAAACTGCAGGCGGATGAGGTACGCTTTTACATTCCTGCCAGCAAATTTTCACTAAGACCCGAGGTCAATCCTCCATTTTGTCGGACAGAAATTACTCTATTTACTTGTTTTCGGGAGGGTTCCCTTTGAAAAACCAAAACGCACAAAAAAATATAGAATGAGATTCGGATTGATGAAAGAAAAGGATATCTACATAAAACGTAAGACACAGAACTTGCGGGAATCGTAAAAGCTCCGGCGACACCTTGAATGTTCACCATAAGATCCTGTAAAATGACGCTGCAACCAAAAGCAAACTCGCCTTTCTCCGAATAATCAGAAAGTGAGGAGAGCGAAATGAAAAGGGTCAGTGAGCCTCCCTCTTGGCGCATCCCTGTAATCGTGATGCGCCTAACACGGTAGATACAATTGACCACCCTGTAATTGATTTGGGATGATCAACGAACTTTTCAACAACAAAAGAAAGATATCTTAAATCATTATCATCAAGGAAATACTGTCACAGTCCCAGAGATAGCAAGGTCACATCGGCTAGGCGACAACAGTAGTGGTCTCGCTTGTCTTTGGGACCATGTCAATGGCTGACCGGCGTACGATACCACCAGTCACAGGAAGCTGAGAGCTGGTGCCCATCAGGAAGCTGTCAACTTCACGAGCACATTGACGGCCTTCGTTGATACCCCTAGAAGACAGTGTTAGTTACGATCCGTTGGCTTACCCAGCCTTGAGTCAATTTGGTATTGGTGTAGACTTACCAGACGATGAGCGACTGTCCTCGGCGGCAGTCACCAGCAGCAAAGACGCCGGACACACTGGTGGAATAATGAGCTGGAGGCGTCTTGACGTTCTTACGGGCATCGCGCTCAATTTCATCGCCCAGAAGGCGGTCTTCAGGGCCGAGGAAACCCATAGAAAGGAGAACAAGGTCCGCAGGGAAGAACTGTTCGCTACCCTCAATGGTCTTCATATCCCAACCGCCAGAGGCGCTCTTGGTCCATTCGACGCGGACAGTGTTGATACCCTTGACGTGACCGTTACCGTCGTCGACAAATTCAGTAGACATGACACAGTACTCGCGAGGATCCTTGCCCATGTGGGTCTTGACCTCGGAGTGGCCGTAGTCGACACGGTAAATACGGGGCCACTGGGGCCATGGGTTGTCACGGGCACGCTCTGGTGGGGGCTGAGGCAGCAACTCGAAGTTAACAACAGACTTGGCACCATGGCGAACAGAGGTACCAATGCAGTCGTTACCAGTGTCACCACCACCAATGACAACAACGTGCTTGTCCTTGGCAGAGATATACTCGCCGTCAGAGAGACCCGAGTCGAGAAGAGACTTGGTGTTGCGGTGCAGGAACTGCATGGCAAAATGTACACCATCCAGCTCACGGCCAGGGACCTTCAGATCGCGGGCAACAGTGGCACCAGTGGCGATGATGACAGCGTCATTGCTCTGGCGCAGCGAGTTCAGGGACACCTCGCTGTCAGGGCCAACGGCAGTGTTAGTGACGAACTTGACACCCTCGGCGGCCATGAGATCGACGCGGCGTTGGACGATCTTCTTATCAAGCTTCATGTTGGGGATACCGTACATCAGCAGACCGCCAATACGGTCAGCACGCTCGTAGACAGTGACGCTGTGTCCGGCACGGTTCAGCTGGTCTGCAGCGGCGAGACCAGCGGGCCCGGACCCAATAACAGCAACTGTCTTGCCGGTGCGCGTCTTAGGGGGCCGAGGGACCATCCAGCCCATCTCAAAGCCACGGTCGATGATGGCACATTCGATAGACTTAATACCCACAGGGTCTTCATTGATGCCCAGCACACAGGCGCCTTCGCAAGGGGCAGGGCAGACACGACCAGTGAATTCCGGGAAGTTGTTGGTCATGAGCAAACGGTTGAGAGCATCCTGCCATTGATTTTGGAACACCAATTCGTTCCATTTGGGAATGATATTAGAGATGGGGCAACCAGTGTCGGACTGACAAAATGGGACGCCACAGTCCATGCAGCGGGCGGCCTGGTACTTCAACTCATCCTCATTGAGACGGCTTGACAGCTCGCCCCAGTCACGGGTACGAGTAGCCGGGTTGCGGTATTTCTCGCTGCGCCGGCTGTACTTCATGAAACCCCTCGTCTTGTCAAGAATCAAAGCGGACCTCTTCTTCTCAGTCTTTGAGTCGCTCACACTGTCTTCAATGTCCAGCATCTCGGCCTTCTTCTCCTCTCCTTCCGTCTTGGGCTTGGCCTTCTCGGCAGGAGTGCTGGGAAGCTGGGGAATAGTGAATTCGGCCTTCTTAGCGGCAGCGGCCTTGGCAGCTTCCTCCTCCAGAATGCGTTTGTAGTCAGTAGGCAACACCTTGACAAAGTGGGGAAGAGCACGGGTGAAGTCCAGAAGGATACGAGCGGCCAGTTCTGAGCCAGTGTAGTGGTGGTGGTCCTCGATTAAACCGCGGACAAAGGCGATCTCAGCAGGGTCTTCGAGGCCCGAAACCTCAACCATCTCCATATTGACCTTGGAGAGGAAATCCTGGTTCATATCCAAGACATAGGCGATACCACCAGACATACCAGCAGCGAAGTTACGACCGGTCGAGCCAAGAATGAGCACACGACCACCGGTCATGTACTCGCAACCGTGGTCACCAACACCTTCAACAACAGCAGTAGCACCGGAGTTACGAACAGCAAAACGTTCAGCGGCCACACCACGGAAGTAACAGGTACCCCGGGTAGCACCGTAGAGACAGGTGTTACCGATAATTATGTTCTCCTCTGCCTTGTAGGCAGCGCCGCGAGGGGGATACACAATGAGACGACCGCCAGAAAGACCCTTGCCCACATAATCGTTGGCGTCACCCTCAAGTTCGAGAGTAATACCAGGAGCAAGGAAAGCACCAAAGGACTGACCAGCAGAGCCCTTGATGTTGGCGTGGATGGTGTCTTGAGGAAGGCCGGCTCCACCATAGCGGCGACTGACCTGGTAAGACAGAGTAGCGCCCAGGGCACGGTCAGTATTGACAATGTCACACTCAATTCTGCAAGGCAAACCCTTCTCCAGCGCCAGTTCGGACTCCGCGATCAGCTTGTTGTCAAGGCGGACGTGCAGACGGTGGTCTTGCTTGCGGACATTGTAAGTAGCCACGCCAGGACGGAGAGAGTGAGCGGGAGTCAGGATGAGGGAGAGGTCAATTCTCTCCTGCTTAGCGGTTCGAATGTCCTCCCTGACCTTGAGCAACTCAGCACGTCCAACCATCTCGTTGACCGTCCGAATGCCCAGCCTGGCCATGATAGCACGCATCTCATTAGCGACATAGTAGAAGAAGTTGATCACGTGCTCAGGTGTGCCCTTGAACTTTTGGCGGAGTTCGGGATCCTGAGTTGCAATACCAACAGGACAAGTATTCAGATGACATTTCCGCATCATGATGCAACCAAGAGCGATCAGGGGAGTGGTGGCGAAACCGAATTCTTCAGCACCCAGCAGACAGGCGATGGCGATATCACGGCCGGTGCGAAGTTGACCGTCAGTCTGAACCACAACACGACCACGCAGATCGTTGAGCACCAGAGTCTGATGGGTCTCAGCGAGACCCAGTTCCCATGGAAGACCGGCGTACTTAATACCAGTCCAGCGAGAAGCACCAGTACCACCGTCGTGACCAGAAATCAGAATATGATCGGCCTTGGCCTTGGCGACACCCGAGGCTACGATACCGACACCAACCTCAGACACCAGTTTCACGGAAACGCGGGACCGAGGATTGGAACACTTGAGATCATAGATAAGCTGCTTCAGGTCCTCAATTGAGTAAATGTCGTGGTGAGGTGGAGGTGAGATAAGACCGACACCAGGAGTGGAGTAACGAGTGTGGGCAATGGGGCCGACGACCTTGTGGCCGGGCAGCTCACCACCTTCTCCAGGCTTGGCGCCCTGGGCCATCTTGATTTGCAGCTCGTCAGCATCAGCAAGGTAGTGGGAGGTCACACCGAAACGGCCGGAAGCAATTTGCTTGATGGCAGACCGCATGGTGTCACCATTCTCCAGTCGTCTGCTACGCTCAGGGTCTTCACCACCTTCACCCGTGTTGGATTTACCGCCAAGACGGTTCATGGCAATGGCCAGTGTGGAGTGAGATTCCATGGAGATGGATCCGTACGACATGGCACCTGTCACAAAACGACGGACAATTTCAGTCCAAGGCTCAACCTGGTCGATAGGAATGGGGCTCCGTTGCTCGAAGTCGAACTCGAGCATACCACGCAGAGTGCAGTTCTTGATCTGCTCATGTGCGGCCTTCGCGTAAGCCTCGTAAGACTTGTCGTTCTTGGTACGGACAGCATCTTGGACATTGGCGATACTGACGGGGTCGTTGATGTGCGCCTCACCTCCGTCACGCCAGTGGTACTCGCCCGATTCAGGAAGTCCGGGAATTTCAATGATGGAACGAGATGGGTATCCGCGTTCATGGAAAGCATATGCATCCTGAGCGATCAGCTCAAAAGTCAATCCACGGATACGGCTCGCAGTTCCAGCGAAACATCGGTCAATGACGCTGTCGTCAATACCGAGAGCCTCGAAAATTTGAGCACCCTTGTATGATTGCAGTGTAGAAATACCCATCTTGCTCATGACTTTCAGGATACCTCCGTCGCAAGAAGCCTTGTAGTTCTCAATGACCTTCTCATCGGAAAGTTGCTTGCGAATCAACTTCTCCCGGTTCATCTTGAGAATACACTCCATGGCTAGGTAGGGATTGACGGCGTCAGCACCATAACCAACCAGGA